CTGCCTCACTGCAGCAATGCCACAGCCCTGAACTGGGGGCAAAACTGTATGCAAACAAAATCTAAACAAGCCAGAGAACTGAATTCAAGGAAGGGATTGGCACATCCAGCCATCTGCCCCACTATCCTGGAGCTGCAGACCTCCGAAATTGGATTACACAGTCAGCAAATACCGCAGGAGCCTGAACTTCGTGTCCTTGCTTGGACAAAGAGAACAACTCATGCAGACTAGCGTGAGGGTTTTTTCAAGCATTTAAATGTTTTTGCAATGGGAAGGCAATCAGAGCAAGCTACTGTACCACCAATAGGTCAGCTTTGGAGAACAGGTCTCCCCGCCTCGGTTTCTGTTTGAAATGGCACGGCTTATCTGATCTTTCTTCAGTCTTTTGGGGTTGGGGCTTTTTTTTTTCTGGTAAATGTAAAGGTCACCTTTGAAACCTAATGGTCATGGACAAGGTGTATAATTCTCAGTGTAAAATTTGTAATATGCAACAAGATGGCTCATCTTGTGAAAGCCAGTTTGTTCAGAATCTTTTACTTCACTTTTATTCTTTGGGAGTAAAGGGTTGGGTTTTGGTAGATCCATTGCCTTTTGTGTCTCATAAGTAGAATATTTATGAACAGAGAAAGATGGTCCACTTTTTGAAAAATCCACTGTAGTGTAAGCCTTTGGACTAAAACCTCTTGAAGCTGTGTAAATACTGTAAATACTTTGCATATTTACTCGATGTATCCTATAGTTTAAATGAGTTAAAAATAAAAAAAAGGAGGCAGTCCTGTTTTTATGCAGATAACAATGTTCCTGCCACAGGAAGCTCAACGAGTGGTGGTTAATAGCTGACACGAAGTTGAGACATAAGCTTTCTTAAACGACGTCTGAACAACACAGCTCACTTTTCAAATATCAACTACGATTATTGTTTCAGAAATAACATCCCACTGCGCATGGAGGAGGATAATTTCAGAGTACTTTGCAAGCCTATTGAAGCTGGCAACTGATAGGCTTGCCCAGCACCAGGGAGGTGTCTCAAAGCATCAAGGTGCCACCGGGAGGCAATTTAAATAGCACGAGGGCGAGTTATAATGCCAAGGGGAATAAAAGCTGTATGTGCATGTTCAGTGGTGTGCTGTGCCCCCGATGCCTGCACCAAGGGGGCCCAGAAGGGAGTAGCCCCGAGGGCAGTAGTGCAAGCACTCAGCCTGCAAGGCTTGCTGGCCACCACCACTGGGATAGAGCATCCTACAGCCATGCCCTGGGACCGGCTCAGGGCCAATTCCAGGCCGTAGGAGCGGGACAGCCACCTCAGGCACATCCCCGTAGGATCACTGTCAGGCATTATGCTCCCTAACTGGGAGATGCCAGCCCTAGGCAGTGTACCCAAGGATGCACCCTGCGGATGCGCCTCATCAGCCCAATGAAAAGCTACATGGATACCCCCATCCTCCCATTCCCACTTCCAGATGCCCAAATTTTCCATCATCTGGAACACCCCAGTCCTGTATTGTGCTAAACAAATCTCCTCGGTTATTTTGACTTGATATTTATAAATCAGACAATTAACTCTTTCTCCCCAGATTTCAGTTCAGGATCCTCTGCACTGGCAAGGCTCTTAGAGATTTCTCTATAAGACCGTGATGACTTTGTGAAGGTTAAGTTCTCATGAGCTCTGAGTCTGCACTGAAGTAAGATGAAGGAAAATTAAATTATATCCTAAATTATCACTTATACTATCTGCCTATGAATCTATCTATAGATATCTTTTTTTTTTCTATTATTTCTAGGCTTTTGAAAAATACCAGTCACATCAAAGCACATGGGGAAAGGTGATGACAGAGTGGGTGCAAAAGTGGACCTTAGCTTAACAAGCCTGAGCCGAAGATACCTAATTTTCCTTTTGCTTAGCTCATCTGTGTCATCTTAGTGTGTCTCTACATCTCTGTCACTGTAGGAGCTGCTGCTATTCACTCTACCTGGTCAGGGCAACAGAGAGTGTCCTTTCCTGAGCGTGGGATGGATCTTTGCTTAGCCTCTGAACAGCCAGGCTGGCTGCACTGAGCTATGCATTGCGTAAATTTGAGGTCACTTGTGGTCTTGTGTCATAGTAGTAAAAAAGAGGTTATACAACTTCATGGGCCTGCAAGAGCAATTGCAAGGATGAAAAACCAGGTTAAAAGACCCAGCTGTAGTCCTAATTCCACCTGGACGCAGAGATGATAAAACCTTTGAGGGGCTATTCTTCAGGGGTAGGGAAGGAGTTAATGTGTTCTGTTTTCGACATGCTACAAAAGTATGCTAGGAGCCAACCTTGGTTATCTTCCTCCCTCTCTTCCCTACCCAAGAAGGGAATGGATCCCAGTGGATCCCATGGGACTGGGAGATGAGCCAGGACCTGCTCAGTGCAGGTGTGGAGGGTAAGGTTGGACTTCATTAACTGCTTGTGAGAACTGAACTAGGTGAGCTTCCCAGCCCAGACACAAAGCTCTCCTGACCAGAAGAACTTCTCCAGGTGGGGAAATGGTACTTTGTGTAGCCCAGTCAGGCCAGATACCCTAAAAGTTACTGCTAAGGAAAAGAAATCATGCCGATGAACCTCAAGCATTGTATTTCACCTGTCACAGTGATGCCTGTCAGAACATGTAACCTGACAAGTCCTGAAAACCCTCACTACGTATAAATTGATTATGGGTTTGAGCAGATGCAGAGGGAATGTGAATTGCTTGAAATCCCATGCTATTAACCGAGAAACACTGACAGGGTTTGGTGCCATGTCTTGAACTAGTTGACAGGCAATAATAAGCAACAATCTAACTCTGACATCTTTCAAGGCTGATGATCTAATGAACTGCAGAGATGTAGTTCAAGGATAAGGACACCTTCCTGAAAAGCACAAGATGAAAATGAGCAGGATGGAAACCACTGGAACACACTCAGGCAAAATCAAATCCCAGTGATATAGCAGGAACAGTTGGCTAAAGAAGCAAGTTCCACTGAAGTATTTTGGGGTCTCCAAACACTGATCTCCCAGCTGAAAGTTTAGTTGCTACAAAGCTATGCATAGGATTTATTTCCAAAAATTCATCTGAGGTTCTGTGGCCTTTTAGAAGTATCAGCCCCCAACTGCAAGGATGACACTGGTAATAATCTGTGAGTGAAGAGAAATTTCATGCATATATTGTTGTCCCCATGGCAGAACACCATCACCGAAGAAGAAGTTCAGAGGATGAAGGAGCAATTCATGTGTGCCTACGATGTCACCGCAGATGGACGCCTGCAAATCCAAGAGGTATGTCTCTCCAGCCCCAGTCCAGGATTTATTTTACAAAAAGAGGGAGAAATAAGACCTAGAGAAGTCTTGGGAGATATGGGAGATAGAGCCTGAGTGGAGAGGAGGTGAGTCATGGAGTATGACATTAACCAGATCTCTTGGTTTGGGCTTTAATTCCAAGGTAACAACATGCTTAGCTTATATTTCCCATATTGGGTCAGCAGCCACCCAAGATTTTTCGTATCTTTACTTTCATGGTCTGGGTTAATTCTGGGGTATTTTTAATGTGTTTTGGGGTTTTTTCCAGCTTGCAAATATGATCTTGCCAGACGATGAGAACTTTCTGCTGCTTTTCCGGCGGGAAACTCCCTTGGATAACAGTGTGGAATTCATGCGGGTTTGTATCTCTGCATTGACTCTTCCCCTTGCACACCAACAGCTGCTTCAATACGTACGTTTCCACCATATGTAGAACGGGATGGGGAATACATGAGTATGTTGGAATCAAAACACATTCTGACTTGTTGAGATAGAGAAGGTTATACCTCATTCACACCAGCAAAGCAGAGATGTGGTAGCTAGGGCTGGACCAAGGGCACCTGACCAGTTCTTTAACTTTGCAAAGACTCTCAGCTACCTATTGGTCATGCCACCAGAGACAAAACCTTACTTACTACTTACGCACTGATAAACTCAGACCTCTTGGGAGCTCCAGCCAAAGCTGCAGCTCCTCACTCACAGCATACACCAAGTGAGCAGACCGGGCATGTTTTAAGCACCGTTTTATCCTGAAACATTAGCGTGGCAGGGTGTGGAGTGGAAATCTCCATAAGCCAAGGAGCACAACCCCATAAGGTTTCTTTAACCCTTCCCAATTTCCCTCCAGTCTCTGCCCATATGTCTCCCAGCACAGAATTTCAATCTTTCCAAGAGTGCTTGAAGTTACTTTTGCTTCACATCCAAGCTGGGGGCTTCGGCGGATCAATGGCCAGTTGTGTACAGCTGTGACTTTTATTCACGGGGCAATAAGGGAAGCTGCATGTACAAATTAGGTAAGAAATGTGGAGCAGTTTCTCAGTCATTTCTTCCTTTTCCAGACAGTGCGTCTACATTAAATATGTGATAGCAACATGTCACTTGTACAGCATCCAAGTGGGAGTAACAGCTATTGTGTGGAAAGTTTATTTTATTTCATCTACAATTAATTAAATACTGGACAATGCAACAGCTTGCTCATTATGGAAGTCCTAATTTGAATCTTTATTCTCTGTCACCCAAGCAGATGATGAATTGCAATATTTATGTGGTCATATCAATCTATCCCCATCCAGATCTGGCGCAGTTACGATGCTGACAGCAGTGGATTTATTTCAGCTGGTGAGCTCAAAGTAAGTTATTCTAACAAGTCTCTTTCAGCTTGATCTACATCCCATTGATGTCACCAGGAGCCTTTCCATCAGCTTTACCAATTTGCTGCCCTTTTGTGCAGTTGACAAATGGCATTTCTGGGTCGCTCACAGCGAGTTTAAGGACTGGGGACCTTCCAGCCTTCTGGCAGGGCTGCAGGGACCCTGCTGAGATGGAGGATGCTCTGCTATTGCGCTTGCTGTCCTGCTTCCCCTTTGCCTCGTCCCATGACCCCACTTGCTTTGGTGCCCCCTGAGAATACAAGAACCCCAGTAGGCATGCCTCACCTTGGCCTTGCAAATGTGCTTCTCCCAGCTAAACAGAGCCAAAGCTGTTGTATTTTATTAATGGGATTTCTTCACAACTTCATCCTGAGCCTGCAGATTTTCTGAATGCTGATTTCTTTTTAAGGCTCAGGCTATTGCGGCAGAAGCCTGTTCAGACACCTGGCCTTGAACCAGCCAGGCCCAGAAGTCCCTCCCAGGCCCTCAGACCCTGTGCTAACCTCTTGGCTTGTGGCTCCAGCCCATGCCCCACTGGCAACATAAGCAGATGCTTAAGTGTCTTGCTGAATAGTGACTATTTTGATTTGAGATCAGTTAGCAAATAGTGCAGGACTTGTGTTTTCTTTTTCTTATTTTGTTGGTTTAATTATGACTTATTTGAAACTGCCTGCTCTGGGGATATTTGGTTATATTCAAATTTATTTGAAAAAAATATGTTTGAACTAAAAAGTGTGAGCTTTATGTGAAATTGAAGACACTAGTACTAATCAGGAATGTGAAATATGATTCATATAGCCCTGCTTAATTTGGATCTGTTTTCTTACTGTTATTTCCTGAGTTTGCTCCAAAGAGTAAAATTTGTCTCTTTCCTTACTACAGGATTTCCTGCGAGATCTCTTTTTGCAGCATAACAAGGTGGTTGCTGAAGTAAAGCTGGAAGAATATACTGATACCATGGTAAGAAAAGGCAGTGCTAATATTGTTTAGATTATACAACCACCTAAAAATCTCCCTCGGGGTTAATGTCTGGATATTTGGTGCCACAGATGCCCTCTCAAAAAAGTATTTCTTCTCTAAGAGATCCCTGTGGGAAGTTAGCACATGCTGCTGCTGTTCCTTTGTACTGCACTGGACAACAGCTGTGAACAGCATTTCAAAGATTTTTGCTCTGAGTTGCAGTTTCCTACGAGAAAACAGTTTGTCTTATGACAAAGCAAACTGAGCCCTAAATCCATTAAAAAAAAGTAAGTTGAGGTGCATTCGTCTATAGGGTGCATTCAGCCTCAGCCAGATCCCCAGGTCCTTCCCTCTCTCTCTCTCCCAGCAAATCCTTTCCTCCCAAGACGCACAGGTATCTGGCTCTTCTGGTCTGCAAAGCCCAGTAAGTGGTGCTGGCTCTCTGCTGCTTCCCTGCGAGGCTGGAAGGTTGAAAGCTTCAACTTCATCCCTGCCTTATCACAACACGGATTTTATCCCGCAACTAGCAACGTTAATACTTGGTGTAAGTTTAGCATCAGTCACCTGGATTTGAGAGCAACTTATTATATCTAAGTATATAGTTCCACTCGCAGACATCTACCATTGCAATTTTCTAAATGATTTTCAGATGGGATTGCCTTGCTTCTTGGCACTAAATCTGTGTTTGTACCTAAAGAACAGCTCGGTATGCAAGCAAACGAGGAGCTGCCCGCATATTTTACAATACCATGTTATGTATGCATGAGGCGTCTGTGCCTGGAAATGTGACCCTTTCGAGCAAAGCAAAAACCTGTACCATTACAGAAGAGTGTACCTCGTTTTTCATATTTATAAGGCAGTGAAGGGAGAGGAAGGCAGACTGCAGAAAGGCTCTTCCAAGTAGCAGAGCTTGAAAACATTAAAACCCCACAAGCTACAGCTACAACAAAAGCCTTCCTGGGAGAGCTTGCAGGTAGCAAATAGCTTTTGTGCTGCCCCATTAAGGTTTCCTTCCCCAGTGGCTAATCTCTGATCATGGGCTGGGGAACAGGCGATACGAAGCTTGTAGACATTGGGCGGTTCACTTCCTCCAAGGTCTTTCCCTTTCCAATAATTTCCCAAGAGCTAGCTGTGATTTCTGCTGCCCCAGGGCAGCTGGATATGGACGTGGTCTGGTGATGCAGCCCAGGGCCAACAGCCAGGAGGTCTGGTTTCTATTCCCATGGCTTTTTATGGGTTGGTTTTGTGTCTTTAATGAGGCAGTGTAGTCTCTACGCTACGGGATTAAGATTTGATCTGAGGAAAGGGATGCTTTGTACATCTGGGGAAATCTATGATCTGATATGCAAACGTGGCCTGTGAGGACAAAAGTTTAGGAAGATGCAATGCCAAAAGAACCAGGGATGTAAATGGTTATTAGAAAATGAGGATGGGGTGGATGATTTTTTTTTTTCCTTGCAATTCTTGCTATAACCTGAATGTCAAGGATGCTTACCCAAGAGCTAAGGTAGGATATAAAATTACAACACACATGCTCTTACCCTGTGAATTACAACACACATGCTCTTACCCTGTGATATCCTGTAGTAAAATAGAGGGTATCACGGTGAAGTAGCCACACGGACAGCATCTCTATAGTAGCAGATATGCTGCACGAAGTGATCGTGTGGGAACTTCTCTGAAGTAGTAGGGCAAAGTCACAAGGAGGGAAAAAAGATTCAGACCTACATTTGCAGTGCTGGATCCAAAACGGGGGGTGAAGTGACTTGAAGAGCCAAGAGTAAGGTCAAGGCCCAGGGTGATGGGAGCTCTCTGCTTTCTACATGGAGCAGGGAGCTGCTGAGGCACAGAGTCATGATGGGACTGTCACCATCATCACTGTCTGGGAGAGCAGAGTGACAGCAGCCCTGACATACTTTGCTGCAGAACAGGAGCCTTGCATTTCATTTCTGAGGCTTTCATGGGCTTTCTGATACATCTTCAGCAACCAACAGCACCAATTCCTCTACTGCAGAGTGGAAATACTTATATTTCTCTTCCCCATTACTTTGCTCCCGCTCTTTTCTCCATTTAGAGCACGAGGTCTTTAGGACAAGGACCTGTTTCTGCTGCACACAGCTACAGGGTCTCTCAGGGTGACCCATCTATCCAACTCAGGGCTTTCAAGTGCCACTGTAATAACATTCAGTTGAAATAAGCTGTGTCCCAGGGAGCTGTAAACCCATCTGTCTGTATGAATTTACAGAACTTTACCCTCTTTTCTGTACATCCACAGCTGGCTGCACACATCTTAAGCAGCTACTGATAGTAGTGGACCCTAGAGTCTTCTGGAGATAGGGATAAAGGGAGAAAGATAGAAACTATAATTTTAAAGAAGCTAGACCAGGCATCAGAGAGAAAAAAAAAAAGGCAATTTATGATTCTGTGCTGAGTATTTGCAGCTTCAGCTTCTGAGAGGTGTGAGCAGATATCATACTGACCAGTGCAAGCTCAATTCTTGCAACTTTCTTATGCTGCTGTGAATGATCTTACATCACATTAAAAAAAAGCTGAGAAGAAGCTGAAAGTATTTCTTGTGGAAGAGATTGACTGCCTCCAGAAAGGAACATCACTTTATCAGGTTGCATAGAAGCCATTTCTTAGGAGGCTATTCTGTTTCCTCGTGACGTTGACATCTTCTCTTCAGAGAACACTGATATAGATCAGGGAATTGATCAACAAGGGATGAACCCTTGGAAAAAAAAACAGGTAGTGAATGATCTGAATGCACAAGCCCCATGAGTCTGCTAAACCAAATCCTAAAGAGCGCTAAAGCCACTGGGGAAAGTTACAAAAGAAGAATGTTTGAATTCTCAAGACTCTTTGTGAGGGAATTAAAGTAGAAACCCTGTGCTGAGGAATATCCTTTGCAGGCAGAGTTCTTGTTAGTTTTCATGCCTCTGTGTGTGCATATATATATATGTGTGTGTGTGTATTAATAGTCATTAAGCATGTATTAATGTTTATTTACATGCACACACTTGCATAAGAAGATACATAGTCACATGCAGTTCTGAATCCTTGAAAAGAGCCCATGGGTTTTTCATTCTCCCATGGCCATAGACCAAGAGCTGTTGGCAGGGAGCAAGGTGCTCAGGGGCAGAAGCGAAGCCTTGTATTGCTCTGAGCCTCCCCAGGCAATGAGGAGATGCCCCAGGGGTATTGCAGTGTGTGCTCCAGGACACAAGGTGGGCATAGCTGGAAACAGAGGTTTTTAAGAGCATGGTGAGAATATTCTGCCTTCCTGAAGTAACACAAGCTGAAGAAATGAAAAATTGCCCCCTTGCAGTGTCACAGTGAGGAGGCTGTGGAGGATGACAGCAGTAGTTACAACCTTTCCCATTCCCTCCCCACCCTCCCTCAGCCCCCAGAGTCAAGCTGTTATTAGTTTTCTGGGTCCTGGTGAAGTTTCAGCCCATGAATACCCAGCTCACGTGTGCATTTGACAACATTTTGTCATGAGAGGCAGCTACCTTACCTGTGCATGGACACAACTGTGTACTTAGGCAAAACATTAGGAAAGCTGGAATATGTACCAGATTTGAGACACAGTTTCTGATGAGATTAGGTATTCAATCTTTTTTTCTTCCGTAAGAACAAAATTCTCACACAGCTTTTCCAACTTGCAGTGCTCATCCATCTTGAATATGCTATTACCTTGTTCATACAAACACTGATGGTTCATAGCTTCCCAGGTAGCAGCACTATACTAGTTTGTAATCCCAATGTCTGCAAGCCACGTCCAAGGAAAGCTAGTTACTGAGGCGAACTTCAGCAAATTAAGTTATATAAACTGCTGAAACAGTCACGCATGCAACGCCGTCATTCACTTTTTGCATTGCCTTATGGTGACAATGTCAGACTGAGCATAAAAAAGTCCTTAATTTGAGCATTATTATGTTTTAGCAAAACATAAAGGATATCCCCCCCCAGCCAGCATACCATCTTTGCCTACCACGAAGTAAAATTCTAGAGAGGCAATAATGTAAGTGCAGTGACTAATAATTCAACAATTCAATTCTTCAAGGCCAGGCTGGATGTGGCTCTGAGCAACCTGGTCTAGTGGAAGGTGTCCCTGCCCATGGCAGGGGGGTTGGAACTAGATGATCTTTAAGGTCCCTTCCAACCCTAACTATTCTATGATTCTATGATTCTAAGCATTGGTCATGAACTACAGCATATGAAAGTCAGTAGATGGAGATGGCTGAGGGTGAAATCTCAGCCCCAGAGAAGTTGATATAGAAATCCTCCCCGCGTAATGATGCCAGGGTTTTGCTGTGCTCATCTGCAAATACTCTCTTGGGGACCGGGCTGTGTACCCTGAGCACGCGAGCCCACAGCTGACAGGCTGAGGGCTCCTCATCTCAATGCAAAGGGGAGCAGGTTGACTTCTTCCTCAGGATGGCCTGTGTCCATGAGTAGGTGTTGTGGAGTACCTTTATTGTACATTGGGGGGCATTTCTTTTGCTCCTGGGGCTGCTGCCTGTCCCCTCTGAGAGGACAATGCTAGAGGTGCAGCATGACCACTTCTTCGGCTGTGAAAGCCTGTCTGTCTGTCTGTGCTCAGCGACAATGCCAGGGTACTAATGCAGGGAAATAAAAGTTAGAGCACAAAATATCCAGGTGATTTGCCCCCTTAACGCCTTACTGGCTGAGCTAGCTTATCTGTGTTAATGAAATTTCTTATGACCACCAAAGAAATGGTGTAATAATGGAAAGGCAAATATTTATTGTGTTGACAAAAGCCTAAATGGAGTTCTTTATGTTAGTTAACACACTGAGCAAACTTCCTAAAGCTCTAGAGATGCAGTAGGAGTGGCACATAGCCTGCAAGACCGGTTGCCTAAAGGAGCAGTCGTTATACATCTCTTCTCCAGATAGCTGTCCACGCTGGCCTCCCTCACAGGCTGCTTGTAAGGATGCCATGACCTCCAAGAGACTGCACCTCCAGTGGTGCACTGACGCTGCAACCATCCCATCTCCTGACCCCAGCCACCACTATGGGAGTCCCCCCCTCAACTCCTGAGAGCTTCCTCCTGGCTTTGGGTCGGTGCAATTCCTCTCGCTGCTTTGCTGTGTGTGATTAAGGGAGGGCTCCTGCACAGCTGATGAACACAACAGAGGGAAATCTGCCTCCCGTGTCCCTTCCAGGCTTAATCCTGGCAGTGCCGTCACCTCCAGTTTTGCACCACTAGCTTTGCACCTCCTAGCTTTAGCCAGGAGAAGCAGAAAATCCCATCGTTCCTGAAGATCAAAACCACCAAAACCCAGGAGCCTGCAGGCTCTTGAAAACACCAACAGGTAACATCTTGGTCTTTTAGGAGCCAAAACACTTTGAAAAATCCTGCACTAAATGACTTGTGTAAATTACACAGGCAACGCAGACAGGCAGAGCACCGAGCTTTTGTCCCAAGGGTCACTTTCTGGCCATTAGGACACTCCTGTCGCTCTGCAAAAGCCTTTGGTCCCCATCCTTCCCGAAGGAAATGAGCCATAGGCTGTCCTGCAGCTGGGGCACGTGCCTGTCTTTGTACACCCTCAATAACTTCTGTACTCACTGGCCAATTTTAGTTACAGCTGCTGGATATAGATGCCCCTGATGAACATATTCGTGAGAGTAGGAGGTCAGGCAAGAGCCGACTCTTTCTACGTCCCACCTGAGGGGTAAAACACTTCATTACACCCAGAGAACCAGAACCAGAGAAGGTTTAAAAGCAGGCTTTAGTGACTCCACTGATCACAGAACCATTTATTTTGGTTGTTTACTTCTGTCCTTATCTCTGTCACTGAAAATAATTCAGATTTATAATCTTATATTGCTCTTCAAAGCATGTGTGTGTTTATCATATCCTGGTGTTTTGGTGGCTTTCTTTACAACACCAGACTGGGAAAGCAGAGATAATTCCTTTGCTGAATTCAAAGCTAATGGCAGTTTCTATTTAATTCAGCACTTAAAAAAACAAGATGTAAAAACCCTTATTTTGCAAACCCAGCTCTTACTTATGCTCTGTCTGCCTCAGAGTGCATGGCCTACATTCAGACAAACAGAACTAAGACTTCCCTGGTGCACTGCCATGAAAATGTCAGTGAGTTAATTTGTGCAAACACTTTAAAACACGAGGTAATTTGACAGTAAAATACATGCATCATTTTATAAAGCATACTGCTGGGTGCAGCAAAGCTTTTAGTAAAACTGAGTGCTATTTAAACATGCCAGACCTTATCCTTAACCACACTGAGACGTTTCCTATCAGCCTGGCAGCATAAATATACCTTTTAAGAGTGTAAACTGAAAATCCATCAAGTTTAACATAACAAGATGGTGTGTAAAGGCAAAAGTTTATATTAGAAACAGCCTCATAACAATTCCAAATGTCTGCTTCTCCCATGACATACGCTTTGTCGTTTGGGGTGGGCACTCTCTGTCATTCTCTGAGTACTGATGTGCACAATTAGCAGATCAGATCAATGTTTGAAATTTGAAAGTTTAATTAATAAACATTACCCCAGTCTTTTCCTGAGTAATGCAGCCCAAGATTGCCATGTAGCGGGTATGCATGAGCTCCAGTTGTCCAGATAATAGGATTAAGTCTATCTTATTAGCTGTGGTAGCTGAACAAATTCAGTGAACACTTTTCTGTCTTCCCTATGTTTTCCATCTTTCACGTGGAAGTCACTAGACAAGAATTACCTCAGCCTAGCTCTTCCAACTAGATTTTTTTTTTTCCTCATTGACTGGTATGGGCAATCAAAATATTGAATAGGTTTGGAAATTTTATTCAGGATACTTGTTACAGGAAAAGGTGAAATAATTTGAAAACACAAAGATACTATCCTGGTACTGCAAAAGCAGAGCTGAGTGAAAGAGGTCAGAGAGGGGGGCTGGTTACCTCTAAGTAGTCATGGTCAACCACTGAAAGTTTAATGTTAACCTGAAAGACAGGGTGCAAATTAAGCAAATTGACTGGGGATGTTGCTTTTCATTAAGTGCTTCACTCAGGAAAGTATTATCTCTGCAGTTAAATGTGATTTAAAGGGGTCTGTGCTAATGCTGGAATGTTGTAAAGTGTTTAGAAATGAATAAAGTTGAAGATTAAAGCTCAGAAAATTTGTAACAAAGCAGAAAGACTTTCACATCTCAACCATCACCTCTATCTAACCTGTTTCCTTAAGCTTTGCAGCCTCCTGTGACTACTTACAACTACTGAAACAGTGAAACATGCTTCACCCGCAAAATGGACCAGATGTGGGGCAGGCAGGACACCCAGAGTCCCCAGACAAGAGTAGCTATGCTAGGGTGCTTATTTCTTTATTTCGTGGAAAAGGATATGAGACTTGACATGTTTTACTGGAAAAGAAACTCGTGGCTTGTCTCAGACAGACCTATGTGAAATGAAAAATGGACCTACATCTGCCTCTTGGATTGGGAACCACCAGCTCTGTCCTGGTCCCAGAAGCTGCCATCATGGTCAGCACTTATAGGTATTCATCAGCGAGCTTGTATGGTGGTCAGGACCTTCAGGTCATGGAGGTGAACTTATTCCAAAATCTCTGTGTTTGCTTTCCTGAGTCATCACAGTAGGAAAAACATATCTGAATCTAAAGTCTGGGCTGAAATGACAGGTTTTAGTCTTAAGGGTGTAGTTCTGAGACACACAGAGAATGGGAGAAAATAAAAAACACTTTCAGGAACTCAGAAACATGTAGGAGAATCCAGGTGAAGCTCAAAGAGTGCCAAAGTTTTAGCGTGTTTTGGTAAGGACACTATCTTTGTGTGAAGGAAAGACTTAGGGCATGTCTTCAGCCAGAGCTGCCCTGTCCCGGGCAGCAGAGTCCCTGAAAGCTTCACCCCACGCTTCCCACCAAACACCGTCCCCTCCCACCTCGCTGGTGATTTCTTTCAGACCGTGTGGGTAACTAAGGACCCTTGGTGGCCTCAACAGAGGGATTTAGAGTGACATTTCCAAAGTGCTTACATTACTGAAGAGCCTAGGGACTATGGCATACCCACCACCCAAATGTTGGTACTTTCTCTAGCTGGCTAAATAAGGGTTGTATCCATAAGCTTCCTTCATGGAGTATTTTTCAGACCAATAGCATAAGCTGGATGTTGCAAAGCCACCTGTGGTGGACAGTCTGCAAAAATGAGCCAGTAAGGGTATGTCCCCCTTCCAGTGGGATAACTGATGGGGCAGAAGGCAGGATGGGATAAGTTAGATAAGCCAGAGAGGGACAACTTGGACTGATGGAGCGTAAGAAAATTCCTCAGGATGACTCGGCAGCTTTATTTGTCTCTCCAGCTCTAGGGCTAAGGAAGATTCAGAGGTCTTTCTTCTGTCATTTAGTGGCTCTGCACAGAGCACATGCTCAGCAGAGGCCAGTGAAATGGGAAAGTGGCTTTTCTTGTGCCACTGAACACCTGCATGGCTCTCAGCATGTGATTTTTCCAAAAAACTCAGTATGAGCCTTCAGACATTCATAGGAGTTTTAGATTGTCTTTCAGTGGGAGGAGAAGTGATCCCATACCCAGTGCTCTTCAAAAATCCCATCCAAACCTCAGCAGTGTAGATCACATGGAATAATTGATGGAATAAAATCCTGTTGCAGAATCTTATCTAAACCCAGTGCAATAAAGGGTTACCATAGGCTCACCATCTTCAGTGTAGATGCCTGCCCTTGAGCAAGGGGCAGGGAGGAGGCAGCACTGACAAAATAGGCATCACATTCATGCAAGGGCTCTCCGAGAAATGGCAGGTGATACCTATCCTCATGCACGTGTCAGGCTCTGCCCGGGTTTTGCTGCTGGGAAGTGCTTGGGCCTGCCACTGGCTCTTCCCAGAGCTTGCACAGGGTCAAGCTGTATCACAGAGGGTGGTCCTCTCTCCCTAAGCCTCCTGAGATGCTCCCTCTAAGCCTCATGAGATGGGGACTTGTACGGGCCTTTTCCAGAAGGTGTGCAGTTAATTACACCAAAGATTTGTAGTGACCTGGTAATAACCATTAAATAAGCAAATAAGATTCATGAAGGTAAGAATAAAGCATATTCTATTACTAAGTATCTAACGAAGAATGGCAACCCATCTTAGTAAATTATTAATCTTCCCTCCCCAATGTGGAATACATTTTTTCTAGAGCTTTGAGCCATGAGTTATTCAGGTTTGAAACCCATTAAACATCTCTCCCTCTTTCCCCCTAACAAACTCTTATTTGTGCCTTGCAGAGAAACACAGTACCACATACAATAAATAAATAATATCTGGTGGTGACTCATTGAAAAGATCGTATTAAGGAAAATACAATATTAAGGAAAGGTTAACTTTTGTATTCACACAGATTAACCTCTTAACTTCGGCAGCCTGAATCTCCTTCCCAGTCTTAGCGCTTTCTGACAGCAGGCTCCGAGCCAAGAAAAGCCCACCGGCTTTAGCAGCGTAAAACCCTGACTTGAGTGTCTATCAGAAGATGACATTTGTGCCTCAGCCGATCGGTAGCCACAGCAACGGTCAAAGATAAGGATGAAGTCGGGCTGGAAGGGTTTAGAAGATCTCCGCTTTGGTTTTTTGGCATTTTTTGAGGGGCCAAGGAAAGGCCAGTGTTTAGTTTCTTAAGGCATTTGCTGGAGAGCTGTCTTTATCCCTGTGTAGGATAAAGGGAGCAGTGCTGGTATTGGATTGCTTGGGTTGTCGTTGTCAGAAAGCAGGAGGGTTTTGCTATGCTCTTGTGCCACTTGGTGCCATGCCTCTGGGGGCTCAGGCAAGCACCCCGAGCAAGCAGAGGTGAGGGCACAGGGCAGAGCAAAATGTATGTTGGTTCTTTTGTATGTGTGTTCTCCTCATGGCCTGTCTACTTCATATCTGTCTTTTTGATTTTCAGATGAAGATCTTTGACAAAAACAAAGATGGACGGCTGGACCTGAATGACCTGGCGAGGTAGGCTTTGATAATATTGATGGGGTGCAGCGTCAGATCGAGGCAAGGTGACGATCTCCCTCAGGGGCCGTGCATTTGAATCTTACCTCATTTCAAGTTAAATCAGCTACTCTGATGTAGGTATCCCAGGTCCATAACACATGGTTCCCATCACAATAGTCCGAGAACCTAGAGCTGGTGACACTGAGCAATGCCAGGACCAATTTGTGCATCACCAACATGCTCTGGCATGATCTGTGCTACCTCTGCAATGCTCCCCAGGAGGCGGTGAAGCAGCTGGTGGCACTGAGTCTCCAAAAGGATGGCAATCCCCTTCAGGAGGGTCACGGATGTGCATTTATTTCACATGGTCATGCACAGCAGGTATTGCAAAGAATTTTTGCTTCTTATTTGAGGAATGAAGGTGCTACCACAAAGGGATACCACAAACCCCTTTGCTACTGTCAAGGGGGAGATCTGGAGAGACAAGGTGGGTGATGACACTTATGAGTGAAACTGAGGACTCAGTCACGGGTCTCTGTCTCTTTTCTGCCCCCTCAGTGGCTTTTGTATGATTTTTGCTGTATACAGTGTGCCTCTATCTGTGATTGTATGTACAATGGTTGGATGGGACTTAACATGCAGGTACGGTCTTAAAACACCATGTGGGGGATGCAAGAGAGGTGCTGCTTTCCACTGTCTCTCTCCTTGGGTACACGAGGCATGCCAGTACAAATAACTGGAATGTACATGGCTTTCACCACTGAATATACGAAGAGAGTGGAAAATAGAGGCAGAATGGAGATTAAAGGGGCTTGTCCATGCATTTTCCTCTCATATACGGTTCCCCACTGCCCCGTTACCCACGGCGATTGAGGCTTCTCACACCCCAAACTGTTCGGTGTGTGGACACGGCTCAGCACGCCTGGTGTTGTGGGCCATGAAACCCTTCGGCAGCACAGCTGGAGAGAAAAAACCTTTTATCCGTGCTGTGAGGGGCTTTGTGAGGGAGGAAGGGAAAGGAGAGGAATTTGGCCAGTCTCAGCGCTCAAGCCAGTATTACTTTGTCCTTTATTTTACAACCACCGATTGTCCCACTAAAAGAGAGCAATAAATCACTCTTTAATGCAGCGCAGCAATCCATCGACGAGGAATTATTGTCTGGCAGCTCCTGCTTTTGAGGCTGACCACCTCCGTTGCGCTGGACCACCAGAAATACGCCGAGAGAAGCAATAGTGCTAAGAAACACGTTTGCAGTGAGCCGAAGGGTGCCTGCCATTCCGTGTCAGACAGGGAGGGAGGCATGTGTTCCCATACCAGCCCTCCATAAATAACCCCGCAGGCAATTGTCTTTTTTAAGGGCCTATAATCTAAAAATCTCTTTGCTTTATGAACCAGAAGAGTTTGGAATAGTTTGTGTGCAGAAGATAAAGCGGAAAGATCGTAATTTAAATCTCTCCACTCAGGATTCTGGCGCTCCAGGAAAATTTCCTTCTTCAATTTAAAATGGATGTAAGTAGTGCTATTTTTCGATGCATCCATCCCGTCTTTCTCAGCGAAGATAACCTGGGCCCAAACTTGAACGTTTTTTCTTTTTTCTTTTGAATCTGCTTGTCCTCTCCTCATGCAGGCTTGCAGCACGGAAGAAAGGAGGAGAGATTTTGAAAAGATCTTCGCACACTATGATGTTGTGAGTCCCAGAGCCTGTTCCCTTACAGCCTTTAAATGACAGAGATTTAACATACACTGCCAAAACTTATCCCTCCCACTGGGTGCTGTGGGGTCATCCAGGAGCTGCAGCTGTGCCTGAGCCCATGGCCTAGAGGCACCTAGGCACCAGGCTGGGGGGTAAGGTGGGGATGAAGGGGAGCGTTGCTTGGAGACCTCATGGCAAAGGACCCATTTTGGCTTTCTCCATCGCCACGATCAGTGCTGCTGCATTATCAGTATCTTCTTGCAGGAGACACAAGGGCTGTAGAGGGGTGGTGGCTTTAGCTCTAGCAGTTTCAAGCAGTTTGGGACATGCATCACCACCACCTTGAAAAATAAAAGCCCTTTCAGTACTGAACCAAGAGTTACTTGAGGCGTTTGGCCCAGGGTGGACATGACTGAGTTAAATACCTGCTAGAAATCAGAAGTTCAGTGACACTTCTGAGAGTCACGTGGCTTGCTCAGGGTGGTGACCAGCAAGCCTCACAAAATGCTGGGGAATGTTGCTACCGTTTGAGGGGATGAGATGGTTTGGGAAAAAGGAGTGGGTCTTAGAGCTATAGATCTTGGTGACTGGGTGGAGCAACTGCCCAGTAAATTTTCTGCTGGTTTTGACTTACTAGAATATTTTGATGTTTCTTCCATCTTTCAGAGTAAAACGGGAGCACTTGAAGGCCCAGAAGTGGATGGGTTTGTCAAAGACATGATGGAATTAGTTAAGGTAGCGTCACGTGTCTTTCTATTTATTAATACCCTATATTTCCAAAAGAAAGGTTCTTGTTTTGGAAAATTATATAAGTAGAGGGTCTAATGAGAATGTAGAGTCAAATTTCACTCCAATCAGCAGCAGAAATTAATGTCACAGTCTCTGCATAAACAATATAGGGCATTTCACCATGTCACAGAAATTCTGCCTGACAAATTAATACACCTTCCCTCAGAAGCTGTATTTGAGAAAGGTCCATTCTAGTTCGTACTCTGAATTAGGCGGTTCTTACAGCATCAAAAACTGTGTCAAGGTGGATCAGTCATCAGAAGTTCTTCTTTCTTCTGTTTTCACTGCAGATATGGTCCTTATCAGCGTGAGTTCATGGTTCATTAGCTCATCACAGCTACACTTGAAAATTATTTCAGCTCTATCTCTAATCAAGAATACCATGCCTGTTGTGTCACTTCAGTTTGTTATGGACAGAGTCCATCTGCGTTGGACTAACTTGAGTTTCCAGACGCAGTCCAAGATACAGCTTTTGATCCAAATATAGTCATGTCTTTGGCTGCCTCTGAGCCTGAGCCTGGGCATTTCCACGCGACATGATCTGACGGAGGGATACCCTTGCTCCCATGTCTGTTTAGCGCAGTGCAGAGGCTGAAGCTGTGGGCTGATGGCTGTGTATGTATGCACAGTATAGCTGTGGGGTGTGGAGGGAAGGGAGTGAGGACAGGTGGGAGGTTGGATCTGTGCTCTGTGCATGTGTATCCAAATGAGGGAAGGTTGTACTTTCCCTAAGGGCCTTTGTCAGCGTCATCCTTGGGCACCACAACCTGGGCATGTGAATCTGATCTCCTCCTGAGGAAGTGGGAAGAGAAGTGATACAGCATTAGGAGCGTAGGGAGACAGTGTAGCCTGTAAAGTATGCCTTTAGCGTTCATTTGAGCTGCCAAGGGTACTTTTAAGTTGCTGGCTAGCCTGTAAAATAGTAGCCTGCTGACAGACATGCCACACTGCTCCTCGTGTAGCAGGTCTGAGAGAGGAAAACAGATGGAAGCACGGGTCCAGTGGTGTCACGATCGGTATCACGCACCTTTTTGCAGGCTGTTTTTTGACACTGATCAGATACCGATGGCCTTGACTAAGAGCAAAAATCATGTTACACTTCCTTACAGTAACTCGCAGTCCCATACATCTAACCGTACCCCTCCTGTTTCTGCAGTGCTCCCCTTTGCTGTTCTCCCCCACCTCATATGAGCTGATATGGGGTCGGACTGTTTGGTTGCCCCTCCTTGGGTGGGTTTCCCTGCCACAGCACAGCCTGCTGCTTTACAAGGATGGGGAAATCCAGAGCTGGTTTCTCTCTCAGCACCATTTTTTTCCCTTTTGCCTGCAGCCCAGCATTAGCGGGGTGGACCTGGACAAGTTCCGCCAGATCCTGCTCAACCACTGCGACGTGAACAAGGACGGGAAAATTCAGAAATCCGAACTGGCTTTGTGTCTCGGGCTTAAAATGAACCCGTAGATGGGAGAGTGCTCATGGTTGTGTTTCCCTCGTGAGATTTGCCAGCTTCTCCTCGTAGAAGTGTGTCCGTGCTACTGGGTGAGGGGTGGGGAGCTGGGGCACCACGCCACCGGGCTGGGGGGCGGCTGCACGAAGATGTGGCAGAATGGGATTCACATGGAGGGCCTCCCCACTCCGCCACTCCCTTTTTGGTGTTCGCTTGCTGACGATGCTTGTGGGTCTCCTTAGCAATGTCTCTGCCCACTGGTCACCAGCTGCTCGGAAAAGGGGTTGCTGTTCTCCTCCTGCCCCCATGAAATGCTGCCCTGCCTGTCCCCAGGTTCAGTGACAAGCATCTCCTTAAAAAACATCCCATCAGTGCTCTCAGAGTGCAGGTCCTAGGCGTTTCTGATGGCTGCCTTACGTGTAAGGTTGTTACTTTGGTGAGTCTTGTGCTTTGTTTGTGCATTTAAAATATTGGATGGACGACAGTGTACTTGTGCAGAAATTAAAAAACGGCAGTCACAGAAATTCAGCAAGTTTCATGTGTTCTATATGGAAAGCCACCCGCCGCAGACTGGCAAACCATGTAATGTAGCCACGCTATGTAAAACACATTAAATGGCAAAAGGTTTTCTGATGCCTGTCAGCCTTTCTTCCAGACCAAACAGAAATAACATACAAGGTTTCCATAAACTGAAAAAATGGAAGGACAGAAGCCTAATTAGAGTAAAGCTCTTAAGCACATGCCTTTTTTCTTTTTTTTTTTTTTTTTTAATCTGTAAGAGTTAGTAAATACTTGTAACTTTCATAGAACTTAAAAGCTTCCTGTTACTTGCAGACCATGAATGTGATCCTGGAACCTAATGGCAGCAGCATCATTTGTGCTACTTTTTTCCCTATTCCAAACGCTTTGACTGCATATTCAGAAAGAATTTTTCTGAAGAGAAAACTGCAGAGGATGGGTTGTGAGCAAAACTCCTGCACGTTTCAGCATTTATATCTCCTACAGATGAGAGACCCGGATTTGACACTACAAGTGTCTTTCTGGTTATGTTCTTTACACAAGGCAGTACAATGAAACACTCCCCTTTTACTCAATATTACAAAAATTAATCAGAAATTACCTTCACTCAGTGGATAGAGATGGAGATGCTGAGTCAATAAAGTGCTTAAGAACATAAACAAATTCAGGGATGTGCTTATTTTCTATTTCCATTGATTATAAGATCATAGACAGAACAAGTGCTAAGTGGATCACCAACCATCTTTTCATCATACCTCCAATAGGATGTGCCTTATCAACCAAGCTAATTAGGCCTTTAAGTATATTCTTCTGTTTCTCTCTCTTCATTCAGTCTTTATATCATTCTCATTGTTCTTACTGTTCTCTTAAACTACGGTTTCTGCTGCTTTGGACATGGGAGGAATTTCTGTACCATCCTGTACAATGTATTTCCATTCACAGATGAGCCGGCAGTGTGCGCTGGCAGCCCAGAA